TTGGTATTTGAATATATGTTGCTAATCTCCGCTCTGCAGCTTCCTATCTGTCCATGGTATAATAAAAGAAATATTTGATTATTAACTCCTTATCTTCAGTCCTCTCGTTTGAGTAATTATTTAATTGTCCTACAAAAAATAGTAGAACTTGTTTGCATTGGTGATCATCAAATATAGTAATCTCTTATCTGTCTTTTCTTAATTTTCTATTATCTGGCTTATTTCCATTTTTTAGGAAATATAGTACTTTATTAGGACTTACATTGTGCCATATTGAATATGCACCTCTTTCTTTTTGTTTACCCTAACATGATGTACCATTTTTCTACACAAACAAAGTGAGATGAAACCTATCTTGGCACTCTCAACTATTCTTTCTTTCCTGCACATGCTCCACAAAGTAATGTTAAACAGTTTTAGGTCTTTCTAATACATATTAGTTCAAACATGGACATTTAGTTTTAAAAGAAAAAGTATTTTTAAGAGAAATATTAGTCACACATTGAAGGTTCTGTATGTGATATAATATCAGCTGGTTGTATCCCTAATGTCAAGAGCTTTCATGCGTAACCATACGTCCTACCTGGTGTTCTAATCATTCAGAATGTAAGATATCCAAGAGATTATGTCTTCCTCAGAAAATTTCCTTTACCCATTCTAGAGGAGATGGAAAAGAGCATGAAGCAAGCATCAAACAATTATACACAAAAACATGAGTAAATTTATAAAGTAAAACAGAAAAGTGTAGTAATGGCATCTATCTTATTGATAGTTCAGATAGGAAAAAAAATTCATGAGATTGTCAGCTTGGTCCGGATTCAATTAGGATTTATGCCATATCACATAGTTGTAGTAGAGTGGCAGCCCGAGCATGAGATCTTATTAGTTTAGAGCCTACGTATTTTGTCTAGTAAAAATTAACTTAAACGTATTGCTGCTCTATTTCTAATTTTTGTTCTTAGATAGTGCAGTTGTAAGTTTGTTTCTACGTAAATAAATTTTTTGAAATATTTAAAGATTGTTGAGATCCTCAAAAATCTACCTTCTTGCTCTTAATTAGAACTTGTTTTGAGACTCTATTTTCGCCTATTGTGATGGCTTAAAATCCTGCAGGTGAAACAGAGAAGTCAATGACGAACCTAATGCTTTGACACCCACCAAAATCTTTAGTGCATGCTTTGTTGCTTAATTTCAGAAGTGCTCGAGGCTATTTTATGATGATTGGTTTTAAAGTACTTGTGCAATATCACACCATTCATGGCTTACTACCACAACAAAGGAAATGCTAATTTCATGCTTTGATTTTTTTCCGGTAAAGGTACCGAGATATGCAAGGCATATATCTTTGGAGTTGTGCGGTAGTATATGGTCTTAAGAAGGCAAACAACTATTACTGGAACGTTTAGCCAGAGATTAAGTGGATCTTCAGACATTTTCTATGTGGAAGACTTCATCATGATCAAGAGTTGGAGAAAATTTAATGCGCATTTGTTATATAGTTGTAACGATCCGACCGATCTTTTTGAGCATTTGCACTTCACTCAGTAGTTTGAGAGCATGAGTAGCTCTGTATGATGTATTATGACTTATGTGAATCGTCGGTTTTATTTTTCAGATTATTCGGAATCGATTTGGAAGAATGAATTTCATTGTTGAAACTTTAAGTTGGATGAGTTGACCAAGTTTGACTTTTGTGAATTTAACCCCGAAACGAAGTTTTGATAGTTCTGTTAGGTCTGGATGGTGATTTTGGACTCGGGCGCATACCTGGATTTGCATTTGGATATTTCTAAAAGGATTCAGCATTAATTGGCAAAACTGGGAAATTTGAAGGTTTGGAAAGTTCATAAGTTTGATCGAGAGTTGACTTTGATGATATTAGGCTCGGATTGTTATTCCGAAAATTTGAATAGCTTCGTTATGTCATTTGGGACTTGTGTGCAAAATTTGGATTCAATCCGGGTTGATTTGATATGTTTCGACGCGAGTTTTGGAAGTTCAAAGTTCAAAGTTCATTCTAGTTCGAATTGAGGTGCGATTCTTCGTTTAGATACTGTTATGTGTGATTTGAGGCCTTGAGTAGGTTCGTATTATGTTATGGGACTTGTTGGTATATTCGGACGGGGTCCCGAGGGGCTCGGGTGAGTTTCGGACGAGGTTCACATCATTTTGGAAATTTTGGCTAAGGCTGGATTGGCAGAGATTCTAGTATGACCGCATCTACAGAGCTATGGGCGTGTAACGACCCGGCCGGTCGTTTTGAGAGTAATAGCCCTAATTCCCTATTTATTGTTTCTCCCGTATCTTTTTCTGCTTATGTGACTTGTCAAGAGGTTTTATTTTTGGTTTCGGAGTGTTTTGGGACACTTAGTCCCTAAAACGGAAGCTTCTGTCTTAGGATTTTGACCGTAGTCGGAACTATGTGAAGACGACTCCGGAATGGAGTTCCGGAGGTTCCGTTAGCTCCTTTGGGTGATTTTGGACTTAGGAGCGTGTCCGGGCTGTGAATTTTAGGTCTGTAGCTGATTTAGGTTTGAATTGGCGAAAGTCGAATTTTGGAGATTTTGACCGGTAGTGGTCTTTTTGATATCAGGGTCGAATTCCGATTCCGGAAGTTGGAGTAGGTCTGTAATGTTGAATATGACTTGTGTGCAAAATTTGAGGTCAATCGGACGTGGTTTGATAGGTTTCGGCATCGGTTGAGAAAATTTAAAGTTTCAAGTTCTTTAAGCTGGAATTGGAGGGCGATTCGTGATTTTAGCATTGTTTGATGTGATTTGAGGGCTCGACTAAGTTCGTATGGTGTTTTAGGATTGGTTGGTATGTTTGGTCGAGGTCCCGGGGGCCTCGGGTGAGTTTCGGATGCCCTACGGATCGATTTTTGGACTTAGGAGGCTGCTGAAGTTTTCTGGTGTCTCAGTTCTGGTTTCCTTATACGCGATCGCGTGGGGTGATCCGCGATCGCGTAAGCTAGCTGGACGAGAGGATGGAATTGTTCTTCGCATTCGCGGACAGTCACATGTGAACGCGTAGTGAAGTGAGGTGGTGCTTTGCGAACGCAGAGACAAGGTCACGTTCGTGTAGAGTTAAGTGGACCAAAGTTGGGCCACGCGCTTTGCTCATCGCGAATGCGTGAGGACATTCGTGATCGCGTGAGTCTGAGAGCCAGAGCATCGCTTTCGCGTAGAGTTAATTTTTGGGGCAGCAAAGTTGTTCTTCGCGATCACAAGGCTATTTTCGCGATCGCGATTAAGGAATCACTGGGCAGTATTAAACATTTCAAAAATGAGAGTTTGGCCATTTTTATCAAAACGTGAGTTTGGGAGCTCGGATTTGGACGGGATTTTAGGAAGATTTTCAGAGACATCGATTGGGTAATGATTCTACACTCTATTTTGGTTATATTCCACTAATCTATCATTAATTTCCTCTTTAATTTCGGATTTTTGGGGTTGAAATTGGGAAATATAGGAAGAACTTTTTCAACAAAGATTTCGAGTTTTGAAAGGGGATTTGTGGTCGGATTTGAGTAATTTTTATATGGTTGGACTCGTGAGTGAATGAGTGTTTCTATTTAGTAACTTTTACCTGATTCCGAGACGTGGGCCCGGGTCGACTTTTTAGGGCGAATTTCGGAAGTTTTGTTAAAGTATTGATTTCATTAATTAGATGAGTCTATTATGGTTATATTTATGATATGTAATTGCTTTTGGCTAGATTTGGGTCATTCGGAGCCGGATATTCGTGGAAAAGGCATTGTGACCGATTGATTGAGCTTGGTTCGAGGTAAGTAATTTGCCTAACCTTGTGTGGGGGAAACACCCCTTAGGATTTGGTATTGTTTTGATATGTGAGCGCCGTGTACATGAGGTGACGAGTACGTACACGGGCTATTTATTGAAAAACCTCGTTCTTCACTAAGTAATAACATATTTTCTCCTTATTTGAACTACACTAGCATATGCAACTATCCTGTTTAGTTTAGAATAGCATGCCTACGTGTCTTAACTACCTATCTAAACTCTGTGCAACTTGTTTAGTGAAATTCCTGTTTCTTTTCCTTGACTTGAACTTAATCTCAATTGTAGGTTTTCTTGCTGTAACTGTTATTTCTGTTGGTTGAGCTGCATATTTACTTTTGGATTACGGAACGGTATTTCGGGAGATCCCCATGTACTGCATATTTAATTTGGGACTACGAAACAGTATTCCAGGAGATCTCCTTGTACTGCATATTTACTTTGGGACTATGGAACGGTATTCCAGGAGATCCCCATGTTCTGTATATTTACTTTGGAACTATAGAACAGTATTCCGGGAGATCCCCATGCACATTTACGTTTGGGACTACGAGACGGTATCTCAGGAGATCTCCTGTTGTTATCTCTGTGTACTGAGTTGTTATCTTCTATAAATTCTTTCTTTTAAATTTTAGTCTTTATTTTACTGCGATATTTCTTTCTTGCCTTGCTTTATTATTATTTATACCATTAGGTGCCTGACCTGACCTCGTCACTACTCGACCGAGGTTAGGCTTGGCACTTACTGGGTACCGATTGTGGTGTACTCATGCTAGTCTTCTGTACATATTTTTCATGTGCAGATCCAGATGCTCCTTATCAGTCGCACTATCAATGAGCCAGGACAGTTTTGGAGACTTCAAGGTATATCTGTCGTGTCTGCAGACCTCGGAGTCCCCTTCTACTCTTTCCTATGTCCATTATCTTCTGTATTTTTCTTTTGTTAGACTCTGATGTATAGAGACACTAGACTTTCCTTCTGTAGTTTGTGATTCACGATGTTTCGAGTTTTAAAATTTTTGTGTATTTTTGAATAGTTGGTTATTGTACACGCCAAGCGGCATGGTACCCAGTTATGTTGTTATTGCTACAGTTAGTTGTTAAATTTATGTTTTTATTTCATTATCCCGCAAATGTTTGGCTTACTTAGTCGTAGAGACTAGGTGCCGTCACGACATCATACGGAGGGAAAATTGGGTCATGACAGGGCGCATGTGCGGAGACGCAAAAGCGACAGTGTCATCGCAGAAGCGAGGTGTGACCTGGGCAAGAAAGATTGCAGGAGCTGAAATTGGGTCGCATCTGCGGCCCCGCAAAAGCGATGGTCTTGGGCGCAGAAGCGAACTTGAGCGCAAAAGCGCGTTTAGCTTCGCACCTGCGGTTGCGCAGAAACGGATGGAGATCCGCAGGTGCGAGGTGTCAGGTAGCTAATGGAGTCCGCAGAAGCAGAGCTCGTGTCGCAGAAGCGGCTCGTGTGTCCGCAAAAGCAGAAATGGGTTGGAAGAAGCTTTTAAATCGAGAGTTTGGTCATTTTATTAATATTTGGAGTTATAGACCTCGGATTTAGACGATTCTTGAAGCGATTTTCACCACATGGGTTAGGGTAAGTGTTCTACACTCGGTTTTGATTATATTTCGTGATTTTATCTTCATATTTGGTAATTGGATTATGAATTTTAAAGAGAAATTAGGGGGTTTAGCCTAAAGTTTCTTAGAGTGAAATTTTGAGTTTTGAACATTGATTTGGAGTCGGATTTGAGTGAAACTAGTATAGTTGAACTCGTAATTGAATGGGTTATCCGATTTTATGAGTTTTTTCTGAAGCGTGGGACCAGGTTGGACTTTTTGGTTGATTTGGGCTTTTGAGTAAAGATTCGACCTTTATCAATTGAAATTATTTTCTTAGGCTTTATTTGATGTATTTGCGTTGTTTTTGGCTAGTTTCGAACCGTTCGTAGATCGGTACGCACAGGATGGAATTTTTGGAGCGTTGTTTCGCTTGCTCGGTGTTGGATTTGACTTGTTCGAGGTAAGTAACACTTCTAAACTTGGTGTTGAGGGTATGAACCTCTGAATATACATGATATGTGTTTGGTGTGGAGGTGACGCACATGCTAGGTGACGGGCGTGTGGGCGTGCACCGTGTAAATTGTGACTCGCTTATTTTTGTGGTACTGTGTATTTACCTAATCTTATTTGTATTTATGAAATCTCTATGTGCTAGAATAATTGAGTTGTGACCCATGTTAGAAACCATGTCTAGGCTATATGTTTATCCTGTTGGGACTCACTGATCATTTATGCTGTTGAGTTATTTGCTTACATTGCAATTACATACTCAGTCATACGCATTCATTTGTGTATCATATCTCAGTCTCTGTTACCATTTATTGATACATCACATCATCATGTTGGGCTGATTTTTATGACATTGTGAGCCCGAGAGACTGGAGAGATTGATGACCGAGTGAGACCAAGGGCCTGATGGTGAGGATTTATGATGGGATCGGGCTGCACGTCACAGCATGTTGTATTGATTTATGCCATGATTGGCTTGTTATAGCGCTTGGGCTGAAGGAGCCCCTCCGGAGTCTTTACACACCCCCAGTGAGTGCAGGTACCTACTGAGTGCGAGTGCCGAGTGCCGAGCGATTGGGAGGATTGAGTGACTGTGAGGACTGAGTGACTGGAAGGACTGGGTGAATTGATAATCTGAGAGATTGCGTATGATTTTATCACTGAGTTGCATTGCATTCGACATGCACACTTGACATGTAGGCATATAGATGCACTTTTCTCATATTGTACGACATTGCGTCATTTATGACTTCACATACATATTGACATGTAGGCATAAAGATGTACTTTCCTCATGCCATTTGAAAATGAATCATTTACCTGTTGAAAGTTTTGGAAAAAATCACAGTTTTACAAACGTACTCATATTTTAGTGATTTCGGTAAAAGATTTGAGTTTTCACTGACATTCTTGAAAAGCATGCCTATTTTTCTAGAACTGTGAACGAGCTGAGCACTATATATCTGAGTTACTTCTTTTATCACTTTTATTATGTTGTTATGAATTGTTGTTGTCTATTGATGTTGGACTCTGACCTTTGTTCCAGCCCTTCACTACTTTCAATCTAAGGTTAGGTTTGTTACTTATTGAGTACATGGGGTCGGTTGTACTCATACAACACTTCTGCACCTTGCGTGCAGATGTTGGATGTTGATGTTGCTGTGATCGACGTGAGCTGGATTTGAAGACGTACCTGCGTTCCAGTGGTAGTTGCCTCTTATTCATGGTAGCCTTAGATTTATAAAAATCTGTTTATGTACATTTCGAACAGATGATGTATTTATTTATTTCATGTAAGCTTTGTAAATTCCAATCTTATAAGCTCATGATTTGTACTACCAGTCCTTGGGAATTCTTGTATAAAAGCAGTTTTATTATCATTTTTTTCTTAATAAATCTCATTTAAATTGGATAGTTGTTAATTGGCTTACCTAATGGGTTGGGTTAGGTGCCATCACGACTAGGTGAATTTTGGGTCGTGACAATAGTATTATAGCTATTTGATAATATTAGTTATTAGACCAAATTGTACTAGCTATTAGATTCAAACGGTTTACCTTTTTGGTTATGTAGTTGCACTATGAAATTATGGATTAGTAATTGTTTTGCTCAGGATTTAATGTAGTGCATTAAGCTCTTTGGAATGGATCTTATTATTATCGTTATTATTATTATTATTATTATTATTATACTTGAATTTAAATATGTATAACTTGCAATAGAAAATCATGAAAAAATAAACTTTGGTGGCAATAAGATCGATCTTTACTGGAAATAACAAAAGTAGTATATGGATAAAGACCAATTGGCATATAGTTTTGGTGGCCATTACATTTGCTGCTAAAAGGGTTCTTTTTGAATGGTCTTTATCGGCACTTAAATGAAGTTTACCGGTAATAACAAAAGCCATATGATATATGGCTTTGGATATTCTAGGGAGTTTTAGTGGCCATATTAGTTACCGGTAAATTATTGCCGCTAGAGCTCATGGACTTTTAGCGGCAATAAAGGGAATCTGTACCAGCATTTGTTGTAATGGTCGCCAAAACCTTTAGCGACGCTGGATTCGCAGTCCAATGATTAATTGCCGGTAAATATTTTTGCGGTAATTTTTATTGCCACTAAAGAACATATTAATAGCCTCTAAAAGGCATCTTTGTTGTAGTGCCATGACTCAACCCAGTGTAGTAGCTTCTCAAGCATTTGGTCCATACTTCCACTCCCTATTTGGCTGCCCTCTGTGGTCCCAGCCTTGCTAGCAAACTTGACCCCTCTGCTTGGTGCATCGTCTAAGTACGATAGCGTTCCATCACTTTGTAACTTTTCATCCTCTTCAACTATGTCTGCCTAACTTTTCTTGCTACCACCATGGTCCATTTGCATGACACCAACATAGGCTTTGAAATCTCTTACTTTTGGCTTAGATTCCAAACGCATCCCCCTAATGCAGGAGATCCTTCATGTGCCACCCTTGTGTGCCTGAGCAAAGTTCCCGACCATTGTTGAAGATTCCCTAACTCTAGGCATTCACTTGCCCGATATGATCCTTTACAGAAGTAGCACCCTCTCTTAAGCACGTACTCGCTACCGTTTTCCGGCCCCTTGTCGTTTCTCTTGGACCCATGTCTGTTATGGGGTGGCCCCTTGTCATTGCCCTTATATACCTAAGCTGTGCTGTTCCCTTTGTCCTTGTCATGATCTATCCCACCTCTCTCGGCTTTGCCTTCTTTGGACTTGGCAGGCTCTATCTTAAAGTCAACGAGCGACTCGGCTACCGTTATGACCTCGTCCATGTTGGTTACTTGATGTCTTCTTAACTCCTGCTTTGTCCAATTGTGTAATCCATCCATGAAGTAGAAGAAGGAATCTTTCTCAGACAATGACGTAATTGATTCAACAATTGGATTATGGGAGTTATCGGGTTATTAGTTTAGGATTTACTTTTTTAACCATAGGAATCCTTTCGGGAGTGGTATTAGCTAATGAAGCATGGGGGTCGTATTGGAATTGGGACCCAAAAGAAACTTGGGCATTTTTTACTTGGATCGTATTTGCAATTTATTTACATACTCAAAGAAATAGAAATTTGCGGGGTTCAAATTCTGCAATTATAGCGTCTATAGGCTTTATTATAATTTGGATATGCTATTTTGGGGTCAATCTAGTAGGAATAGGGTTACATAGTTATGGTTCTTTTCCATCGACATTTAATTGAATTCAAGACAAGTTATTACAAATACAAGAGCAGGCGGCGCATTGTATGAACCAATGTGCGGACTGTGTGAATCAAGATTTGCAGCATTAAGGTAGTGAACTCACGCATATACTCCCGAATTACGACCGTCCGTCGGAGTTCCCTTAGCTTCCACCTAGCCTCGTATACCACATTCATCGAGTAAATTTGCTCTTCAACTCCTTCTTGAACTACTCGCACGTCTCAATATTGCATAGCCTTTTTCTCATGTTGGCAAAGTTCTGATGCCACCCCAGCACGGCAACCTCGGTCAAGAACATTGAGGCGTTGCATACCTTAACAACTTCGTCATCCTCGACTACCTCAAAGTACTTGTCCATCCTCCAAAGTAAGTCGTCCACCTCGTGGGTGTCCCGTACACCACCATACTCCTTTTGCTTAGGGACCTTTACATTTGTCCCTTTTGCAACTACCACACCCTTGGTAATCCCGACCATGATTCCCTAAAAGCTTCCTTCTAACAATCTCTTGTATTATTTCTAACATTCCTTTAGTCACAACTTTTGCTCTGATACCACGTTGTCATGTCCTTAGTCTTGAACTAAGCACACGTGCGGCACTTGACAACTTCCTCATGATCCTACTTGATACGACTCAAAATCTAACTATCTGTAATGACACTTAACCTCACCCACTAGGTAAGCCAAATAACAACAATCTGATTCAATTAATATTTAACTGACTCTAATACACTCCCTAAGGACTGGTAGTACAAATCATGAGCTTTTAAGATTAGAATTTACAAAGCTGGTGTGAAATAAAAATACATCATCTGTTTGAAATATATATATGAACATATTAATAATTCTGGAGCTACCACGAACAAGAGGCATCTATGACCGGAACAAGAGGCAGCTATTCCCGTCATACACAGCAACATCAGCATCAGAAATCTGCACGCAAGGTGCATAAGTGTAGTATGAGTACAACCGACCCCATGTACTCAATAAGTAACAAACCTAACATTTGGTTGAAAGTAGAAATGAATTAGGACAAGGGTCAGATTCTAACTCCAAGAACTAATAACATCTCATAACAATAAAATATAAAGCGACATAAGTAATAATAACTCAATAATAAAATGCTTAGCT